CGCCGCCCCCCGCTTCCGCTGCGCGCCCGCGGAGCGCCGGGCCGCGGGGCCGACCGCCCTCCCCGCTGCCCCCCGAAACGGGGAGCGAGGGCGAGCGCTGCCACCGGGATCTCGTTGTGCCCGGAAAAAAATATCCTGTCCCCCCCACAAATCACCTCCTGCCCCGCTGCCCCCCGAAACGGGGAGCGAGGGCGAGCGCTGCCACCGGGATCTCGTTGTGCCCGGAAAAAAATATCCTGTCCCCCCCACAAATCACCTCCTGCGCCGCTTTAGGGCTGTTATTGCTGCTTATGGTTATTGCTCGGCTCTTGCGCTTGGGCTTTCCTCGAGCCCTTCCTTAAACGCGGGCGGCGGAGAGTTTAAGCGCAACATTCAAAGCCCCCACTTAAAACTCAATTCAGACTAGACAGCGAAGCTGCAATAGCGAGAGAATCAAACTCAGCCTTATATGAGCATCGCTGCATCCATCCAGCCGCAATAACCTTAATAATAATCACATTCGAGTGCATTGAATAGTTTTTTGAGGGGGAGGTGGGGAAATCCTTTCGTATCTTTCCAGTAAGTAAGGCTAGTAAAAACTACAGATCTGGAGCCAGATATTCTGTTCTTCGCTTTCCCAAGAAAATGAGAAGTTATTGACTTGGAGAATTTTGTTGCGATTTTCATTTCTTTTCTCCTTGAGAGAGTTTGTGTTATTTATTTATTTATTTACGCGGAAGTAAACGAAGTGGTGCGTTATGGTGGCATGTGCGTTGAAGGGAGCAGAACAGAAACCCGTTCCCACCGGGCAAAACTCATGGTTTCGAGGATACTGGGTTTACTCCGCTCTTTTGGGCTGCAGAGAGAGATGAATTCATAGTTTGCTTCGCTGTTCTTGCAGTTAGGACCGTCTCGTTGAGACCGTCGAGTGGCACAGCTGAGATTTCTGACTGCAACATGAAAAGGCAGGAACTGCCGTTTAAGAGACTTTAGCATCTCCATTGTGCATTTTTTCCTATCCTTAAAATGTAATTTTATCACTAATTTCAGTAGTGAGCTGGTTACTTCACCACAGGATCTGAGCAAGGGCTGGCTAAGAAATACGCCCTAGAGGTGAAGTATCCTTTCAAATAAGGTTATCAGCGCTTCACTTGCACGAGTGTTACCGAGACATGAAAATACAGGGACGTGACACATAGATAAATGATAAAAAAAAGAGAAACGAAAGAGGCACCGAAGCGCCAGCCCTGCCCGCGTTGGAAGCGGTGGCGATTTATCTTGGGAAAATTCAGCACTACGGAAAAAATCCCAGTGCAGTCGCTGTCGCTTCGAATCGATAGGATCCCATAAATTGCCTGGTGCCTGTCACCGGCGAGCAGCACTGCGGCGTTAGTTTATCTTTACATTAAATCTGGGACGTATTAAGTGTTCCCTGGTCTAAAGGCTGCCTGCTCCGGCTGCTCCAGCCGTGATTGAACGTGAAGGAAATCAGATGTGCGCGAGTGGTCGGGACGCGCTAAAGCCGCGGATCCCGCCCGCGCCGAGGAGATCCGTAGGGAGAGGA